ATATTTTTAATCTAAATTTTTTTAAAATTTGGTTTTTGATTAAAAATAAAAACTTAATTTTAAAATTTTATTTTGAAAGATTTAATTCTACTATTTAATATTAAAAAGATAATTTTTAGAAAATAAATTTAAAAAATTTGATTCTACTTCTAAAAAGAAATTTGGAAGGTTTTTTTAAAAAACATGATAACCTTCAAAAACAGATTTAGTGCAAAAAAATTAGAGATTTTTCTAGTAATTGATTTTGAGAAATAATCTTAATAATCATGTTGTAAGTCTTTTTAAAGAGTGGGCATTTTAGAGAGAAAAATGTGTTGCAAGTATTGTGAGCATTTCTTCCTAAAACACATCCAAAATAATTTAGCAACTAAGGCAAGAACAAATTTATTAAATACTCCTCTTAGGTTTGATTTGTATCCATTTGTTTATTTATTAGAACGTGTAAGGTAACTTTTAAATTTTTCTTTTGTGATTTTGATTTAGCTAGTATAATAAAAGAACAATTATTTAGTGATAATTGGGGATTTATACTTTTGTATTAGAATTAAATTGAAACCAAGTTTTACAATTGTCAATGGTTTGATGACTGAGGAGTTTGAATTTAGAGGTAGATTTGTGTGCTTCTTGTTAAAGGCAAAGTAGGTTATATTCTTGTACTTTAAATTGAACTTGTCTCATTATAGTGGTTTTGTCTCTCAATTAGCTAGATATATCTAAATTGAGATAATGAATCCCCCCCCCCCCCCTCCTCTTCTTTTAGAGTTTTTTTCCCACATAATCGCAGTATTATCTCTTTACTATTTTCTATATTTGTTAAAATTATAATTTAAAAATTAGCATTAATCTAAATCGAAAAAATTTATGTAATTCAATTCACCTTCTCTTAAGTTTCTCCAGGACCAACATAAATAATATAGTTTTTAATGGGCACAACGGAAAGCTAATTTCCAGGCTTTTACTTTCATCCAACGTTACAACATCAACAATTCAATCTCCTTACTGAACTTTAATTTTGTGCTCGTGGTGCATACTCTGATCAATGGGCTAGAGGAGAGATGAGAGAGAAAAATATTATTTTTCTCCAAGTGTCACCTTTTTAGTGGAAGGACTGTCAAGGGGTGAGACTACTTTAAATTTTTCGCTCCTTACTTACCAAAGTGTACCAAATACGATGAAGATGAATGGAAAACAATAGAAAAAGAAAGGAGAAAATTAAGAGATTTATCGCTCTTCTTATTTGATATCATGAAATAAAAAGGGAAAAGTTCAAAAAAATCTCCGCTATTGCTTTGAATCACTTACATCCATATTTTTTTTAATCACTTAACCCCTTGTAGTTTTTTCCATCCACCTCCTCCTTAACACGGTTAGAAACTTGATTAGATATATATAATTTACCCTTCTTAAAAAAAGAAAATAAAGTGATAAGAAAAATAAAAATAAGAACAAAAGTTATGAAAACATAGAATACTTAATAAAAGACTAAAAGAGAAAAAAGATGTAATAAAAATGTAAAACAAAAAGAAATCACATTTATAATATTTTTATTTTTTTTGGTAAGCTAAATCACAATTATGAATTTTCAATGTATTTGATTTTATTTTTTATTTTTTATTCTTGATCTATTTTATGTTTTTTATTTAGTTATGTCTGGTCTTTTTCATATCTCTATTTTTTTCTATGAAATTCTTTAGTGAATGGGGTGGCAGAAGGCTAAAAAGAGAGGAAAAAATCACAACAAAATAGACCAAAAAGTAAATAAAAAAAAGACCAAACATATCTAAATTAAATAGATCAAGAAAAAAATAAAAGTAAAACTAAATATATTGAAAAATCATAATTGTGATTTCTTTTTGTTTTATTTTTTTATCTTTATTTTTTATTCTATTTTTCATCTTGAGTATTTATTTATTTTCATTTGGACTAATTTTATTTTTAATTTTAGTCTTTTCTGTCGTGAATTTGACAAATTTGACCTTTTTTATTGTCTTTATTCTATAATTTTTATTTAGGCACATTTGATTTTTTTTCTTTTTTTTTTTTGTCTTTTATTAAGTGTTCTAACTTCTAAGCTTTCGTAACATTTGATCTTTTTTTTTCTTTTTTTACTTTTTTTTTTCTTCTAAGAATGATATAATAGGTATATTTAGTTAAGCTCTTACTGGTGTCAAGCAAGGGTGTGGATTAACAATGACAAAACAGGCCAAATAGGATCAACACGACCCAACCCGTTTGCTACCCGAAAAAAATGAGTCAGGTTAAGGTTGGCTTGAAAAAAAAAACGAGATAGAAAATCCAACCCGACCCGAGTCGGGTTAGGGTTAGGGTTAACTCGAAAAAATGCGGAAAAAATAGCCAAAAAAAAATGATATAAGCTAATTAAATTGCTAAACATAAACTTACATCAAAAAAAATTTCTACTTTCATTGAACAAATCTGGCCCCTTATTATTTTTTTATATTTTTTTAATAAAAAAAATAACTCGTGAGCTGACCGGTTTGACCCGCGGGTTGGCTCTATTTTTTTTGAGCTGGATCGGATTGTCAGCTCATTTTTGCAACCTAACCTGGCTCATTTTATATGGGTTACAAGCTAACATGACGGATTGACTCGTTTTTACCATCCCTAGTGTGACTGAAAAAAATCACATGAAGTTGATTGTTTTTAAAAATAAAAAATATAGAGATGTAAGTGATTCAAAGCAATATGATATGAATTTTTTCCAATTAAAAAAACAATATTTTCCTTCTTTTGTTTACATTAATAAAAAATATTTATAGATAAATAAAAATGCATATATTTGGAGCAAAAAAAGGAAGCATATATACAGTGAAACTCATAAAAGTTACTTTTCTTTCCATCCAACAAAGAGCGATTGGAAAAATGATAAGCTCCCAAAAACATAAGTCTTATCCTTTCCTTTTTATTTTTTTCCACCCTTAAAAATCGTATCAAACCAAGCATGATGTATCATGCTAAGTAGAAATGAGTTTGTGGACAACCTATTGATGAAAAAACCGAATCAAATCGGTCATTTTGACATGAAAATTAGTGAACCGATAAAATATCCAATCAATTTAACCTAGAAAACCATACCAGTAAAGAATCAGCCAAACTAGTCTAAAAACCGATGAAAACTAATAGAGAATTGGTTTATATTTAAAAAAACTGACTCATAATACAATGTTTTTAAATCTGAACCAATTATCAGTTCACAATTCCCTTGTCAAATCACAATCTAGTGATAATTAAATATACATTTTTAATTATATAGAACATATTAAACAATAAAAATACTAATAATGTAATATATTCATGATCAAGTAATATGACAATATATTTAGGTTTAACAATGGAAAAAGTATTTACATTTTTAAAGGATATAATTTATGTTATTTTTAAATGACACAATTTACGTTATTTCACTCTCACAAAAAATGAAACTCACATCTTTAATTTTTTTTTGTCCACCCTCTCTCCTCCTTTGTCTATCTCTTTCTCTCGCTTAACATGACATAACTTTACATCCTTTAAAATGATACACATTTTTTTCTCTTAACAATATATACAACATATAAACATTACTGATCCAATTTTTTCCATACAGATAGGATTGGGACATCCAGATCTAAAAGAAAATAAAACTATACATAATACGTTGAAGGGTACAGGAAAGCTGAACCCTTTGCAAGGATAATTTCTCAACCCAAAGAGCAGTCTTTTGTTGAACTTCTTCAACTACTAGAGTTACACCCTCCTCTTCATATGCCCGTTCAATTATACCATGATCTTTAAATATTTGTCCCAACCAAACTATTAGAGCTTAGATACCATTGTTGAATCGAATAAAAATGCCCAAAATCCCTCGCAAATGATACTTACACCAATAATTTAAATGACAAACCACAATAAACAAATTTAACATTTTATTTCAATCCAAAATTTAAGACATTAAATCTATAAATCTTTTCTACTAATATGACCATTATTGGTCCAAATCTAAATAATATAAAGCTTCTCACTCACGGTTGAATTTCATCTCCAACAATTTGCGATATTATACGGGGGGTAAAAATGTAACGCAAAACATATGTATGATGCCGATGGAGTATTTCATTTCTGCTTAGATTCTAATAAAAAATATTTCAGACTCCTTGTATATAATCTATTCATATACCTCTTAAACCATCGAATACTGGCTGATCCCTTGGGTTCTATTTTTCAAATAACACAACACATCATAGGAAAATAAAACTTCAATAGCTAAAATCACATAATAGGGGGGAGGGAACACTATACCGAAGGAAAAGGAGGAAAAACTTAAAGGGGCCGTTGGGTAGAAAGACTTTGTTAGGATTCCTGGGAAATTGAAAGTGAGAATCTTATTTATCTATGTTTAGTACAAGTTTTTTAAAATTTTCCCGAGAATCTTATTTTCTCGGGATTTTATTTTGTGTGTAATTTTTTTTGAAAAAACCATCCAGGAATACCATTCAAAAGGTGGTATTCTAGGATTTCTATGGAAAAGGAAAATTTAATACAACTAAACATAGTATCAAACAAATTAACCCAATATTTTCAGGAATATATTAGTCTACCAAACAACTTTTTGATAACATTCTCAGAAAACTCATTTTCTCATCATATTCCTGGAAATCGTCCCGGATAAAAAAAAATTTCTCCTCTACCAAACGCCCCCAAAGAGTAATTAAAAAATAAAAACTAGGCAGTTTCCTTTTACAATGGATCATTTAATCTGAATGATATCTATAGGCATCTCACATGTGAGAATTCCTTGGCATCCTTGGATCTCACCATTCACCAACCTATCCAATAAGAATAAAGTGTTGCCTTGCGGGCAGAAAGAATTGAGAAAATAAAATGGCAAACCTAAATAATAAAGTTCACACAACCAGCCAATCATAAGAAACAGCAAGCAAAAACTACTAAAAAATTAAAACAACAGAAGAGGGGCAGAGAGAATAAAAGCTTAAAAGGAACCAACATAAACATTGATGTGACTACAGTAAGCTGTAAAAGTCAAATAAATATTACTTGAATAACAACAGAATCATCAGTACTCTAAATATTACTTCAGGGGTCAATCTAAAAGTGCACAACAACAAACTCAAATGGACACAGCCAATTTCACTCAGAAAAATCAGTACTGCTACCTCCTACTCGCTTTACAGATCTTTTACCTCTTGTGCCTTGTTAGAAGCACTTGTAAAAGTGGTTCTCCGTCAAATAGAGGCCCATGTGATTCTTCCTAGCTTGGAGCAGATGTATGTGATTGAAAAAGTTGCTGGCTTGGAGCTGATGTATGTGGTTGAAAAAGTTGCTGCAGCTGTGGCTGAGGCAGTATCTGGGGATATTGCTGTTGATAAATCTGTGCCTGTGGCAGTTGCTGAGGCAGCGGCTGTTGCTGTGGCGGTAGCTGTAGCGGTAGCGGTTGTGGTTGCTGCAGTTGTTGTGTTTCATCCCTTGATGATGCTTTAAGGTCCAAATTTGCCAGTATTTCCAACTCTTGCATTGCTGCAATTGCAGTGACTGGACTTTCATGGTTAAAATAAGGCTTCAGCATACCAAGAGATTCCTTCACTTTTGATTGCTGTTGAATTTAAGAATGGAAGCATGAAATATAACATATTTGAAATATGATAAATAAATGAGCATCCAAACGGAAGATTATTTCAACTTACAAAGTAATTAAGTTTCCTACTTAGATCTTCATTAGCAACCTTTTGCGCTGAAGTAGCAGCCGTTGCTCCCTATTTCACAAAGAAAAAAAAAAATGCAGTTGAATATGCAAATGAGAACAACTTCCATAAATTTAGAAAGCAAAAAAGAAGGTAAGCCAAGCATCAATAATAAAGTAATTTAAATTCATAACATAAGAATAATTTTATTAAGTATATCGGGAATAAAAAAGGATTCGTTTTTTCTGCAGTTACAGCAGATAAGTTATCTGCAGTAAGACCAATATGACGTCGTTTTGGGACGGAAATCATGGTATTTTATAATTTTAATGTATTTTAGGGTTATAATCGTCTTTATATTTATAATATTTTAAGATTTCAATACCAAAACGACATCGTTTTGAGAATAAATGCAGATAACTTATCTGCATTTACTGCAGAAACATTTTTCCCAAAAAAAAATATTTAAAAATCACACAAAACCATTGATATAGAACTTGCAGCTGTACATATTATCTATAATCCATACATTTCTTTATTCAAACTACATAATCCACACGTCATAGAGGGCTGAATGTTACCCTTTTTTGCTGAGAGTCTTAATGTTACACTTGTCCTACATAGTGAACACTCAAACCAAACATAAATTCGAAACTTTTCAGCAGACATTACCATTAGACATTTCCACCTATTATCACCTGCAATCCAAATTTCAACCCCTCTGCCCAAAAAAAAGAGAGAGAGAGAGAGAGAGAAATAATGCTATAATGGTTTAATCAAATGGTCCAATAAAATACAAATGTTTTCCCCCCTCTGCTTACTTAATACAAAATATAACAAATTAGATTTTTTTGTCTCTGTTAAATACAAAAAATCAGACACTAAATCCTGCCCTCTACATTTTCATTTCCAGGTAAATTGTTTCCAAAAGTCAACTGGCATAAGGTTTTAATACTATTTGCTTTAGGTAACCAATCATTCAATCTAGTACGGAAATTCAAAGTGTCCACCCTATAAAATTATTTAATTTTTGAAAAAAAAAAGTAAAGAAAATATGTACTACAACTAAGCTTATCAAGCTAACATAAATGCAACACTGTTAACTTGAAAGCAGAACAAAAAAAACAGAAAGAATCACAAACATTTAGAACTCAGATGTCAGTTATGCAGCAAAAAGTATCACCTTTGGGCGGCCCACGGGCCTCTTGGGCCTCCCAACGACGGCAAGCTTCGGAGGACGACCCTGCCTCATCACGGGCAAGACCACCCCGCTTCCCCTTCGGCGACCACGACCACGGGCGACACCACCAATCACAGGGGGTGGCGGAACTCCCACACCAGGAACTGCAGCGGCAATCTTCCTGGGACGCCCTCTGGGCCTCGGTGACCAAATGGATACAGAAGCAGTCGGACCAGTTGGCGGTAATGTTTCCGCGGGCACGTCAGGAGCAGGGGCGGCGAACGGTATAACGGTTGGTATCGATTGAATTTTGGGTGGGCGGCCCGGGCGTCGCTTGAGCCCATTCGAGATTGTCGACACGGATTTGGGCTTAGGAGGACGGCCGGGCCTCTTCGGCAACCTAGATCTCCCCGTCCCAGGTGGGCGGCCTCTTCTGACTGGAACCGCGGGGCCCACGCCAATCTTTCGAGGACGTCCCGGGCCTCTTTTCATGATTTCAGTTGAAGGCTCATCCGCAAGCCCAAGCGCGACCCAGACGGGCTCAGCATTCTGCGGCACAAAGGATTGGGGCTGGTGCTGGGGCTTGAGCTTGGGGGGCCTACCGCGGCCCCTTGGGGTTTGAAGAGGAGCGGCGGTGGTAGAAGGGGGAAGTGAAGCATCAGCATCAGCATCAGCATCAGCAACAGCATGAGGATGAGGATGAGTATCAGATCTAGGGGGAGGGAGCTTGTAAGATTTCTTGACCATAACGAGAAGACCAGTGGTTTTCAAGCGCTTGAGGTGGTGAGTCAACAAGGCCGAGTGAGTCGGTGGAAGGTCTCTGTACACTTGCTCTATGTACTTCCCTATTGCTCGCTTGCTCGACCCGTCCTTCTCCTTCAACGCTCCAATTGCTGTGTATATCATCTGACACACACCCATATATACAAAAACATCCCTTTTATTATTGTTATTGCTGTTTCAACAAAAACAAACAAACAAAAAAACAAAGCATCGTCATCTTACCTCGTCATAAGGGGGATGATTGTGGTTGGCAGTAGGAGGAGCAGCAGCAGCTGGGTTGGAGTTAGGGATGGGGATGACGTTGGCGGCGGGGGGTACGTGATTGTTGGGTTCGAGGGTGAAGGGGACGGCAGTGGTGATGGTGGTGGGCAGAGGAGGAGGAGGAGGAGGGATCGAAGTTGGGTCCATGGAAAGATAGAGAGAGAGAGAGAAAAAGGGGTGGATTCGAAAATTGGAATAGAAGAATGGGATGGAGAGAGAAAAATAGATAATTATTACTAAGAGATGAGATGAGAAGTGAAGTGAGAGAGAGTTAGGGGTAGATTCAAGGGACAGAGGTAGTGTTGTGTTGTGTTGTGTTGTGTTGTATGATGTCAGTTCAGTGATGGGGGCAATTCTCACCGTTGATTATAGCCCCTTCCTTTCACTTATTTCCTTGCTTCCCTCCCTCACACTCCATCTTTCCTCTCTCATTCTTCTCTCTTTTTTTTTTAATTTAGTTTTTGAGAAATATTAATTTCATTTTATATTAAAATAATTTTTATATGTTAAAGAGAAAAAAAAAAAAAGGTACGATCCACCGTTAAAAAAAAACGTGATTTTCGAAGTAAATAACATGAGATAATCATCTCATTTAAAATGAGGGTAATATTTTCCTTTTTTTTTTTTTTACAGAAAAGTGTATGTTATTTTAAATGATGTAAAATGATCTCATTTAAAGTGAGTGAAAGAGATAAATTATGGGAAAGAATGAGTGAACAAAAAAATAAAAGTGTGGGTCCTACTTTTTTGTAAGAGTAAAATGACACAACTATTTTAATTTGCAGTTATGCCCCTTGGTTTTACTAAAGGTTTAATTATCTTATGTTATAAGGGATAAAATTATCTTTTACACATATATAGAAGTGTGTGAGATTCATGTAGAGTCATATAAAAAGAAAATAGAGGAAAAAATATGTGTCTCACATATTTTTATATTTTTGACATAATATTTTTGGATTTTATGTTTATCATTTAACATAATATAACTTCACTTTCCTACACACACATTAAAGAGGTGGGGTCCACATGTTTTTCTTTCTCTTTCATCATTCTACTTTCTCTCTCCCTTTTGATGTGAGAGTTGGAAACGACACTTACATTATGTTACATAACACTAATAAAACCCAATATTTGTAGGGTATTATTTTCTGATTCAATTTTCTCTAGTCACCTTATACTCGAAATACAGTTCCAACTTACCCGATTTCTCTGGCCCCAAAAATTTTTCAAAAATTTATTTAAGTCAGTTGCCAACTTATCTTATATAAGTGATGAATTCTCTCGTACACATGCAAAATGCAACGAGAGTCTCGCTTTGAGTTTTTATTTTTTTTCGGATCCTAATTGCACCCTGTGTATGTGTATGAATGAGAGAATTTTAACATGAAGAAGTAATATATACCCATATTTTTAATACAATAACTGCACCGACAAAAAAAAAGGCGTTTGTCTTCTTGTCCGAGAAAGAAAAAATAAATTGATTAATGTTGATATTTAAAAATATATGTGATATGTGTATCTTATAATTTGTGATTCCATCATTACTCTCATATATAAATATTACGTTTTTCATTACGCTGTTTGATATGCAACTGAACTTTTTTATTACAAAATAAATTTTATGAAATAGAGTGCTTATTTTTTAGAATAAATATATTTTTTAATTTTACTTCTTTCTACTTAAAACATGTGAATTATTATTATTTAATATACTTTTATGTTTTTATAAATTATTAATTGCTTTCAAATTTTGTTTTAACGTTATAATTTTTTTTCCTTTTACATATGTTAACTGCTCTTAAAATAAATATTTATAAGGACAACGTTACTTTTTTAAAAGGGATTAGTGTTTGCTATTTAAAGGATATAAAGTAATTCATTTTAATGATTGTTCTTTTTAAAGGATAAATATTTTTCTTTTTTTAAAAACTTTAAATTTTAACTGTTTATTTTCTCAAACTTTAATCTTTTTAATTTAAATTACATATACGATCGAGTTCTTAAATTTAATTTGAGTTAGGTTAATTCTCACCACAAAAAGCAAAAGGTGTAATAAGTGTTAAATGATATTTAATTAATCAGATTTGACTTCAAAAGGGGTAATATCGAAATTTTAAAGTCTATTTAATACTGAAGTATGACATGCACGATAATAATTATATGGGTTTATTTTTTCTGCAATTAATGTAGAATTTATATTGAATCTAAAATAATGTTATTTTGGGACAAAAATTAAAGTATTTTTATAATTATAATTTATTTCAGAATTATAATAATTTTTTTTATTATAATTTTTTAATTTTTCAATTTAAAATATTGTTGTTTTAAGAATGAATGTAGATAATTTATTTACGTTAACTGTATAAATATTAAAGCCTAGTTATATATAAATTAAGCTACAGGTGTATCCAAAAAAGAAAAGAAAAGTTAAGTTATAGGTTATCTTCAAAGGATAAACGGGAATAGACAATAATCGAAGTTAAAGGACCAACAGAGAATAATGCGTATGGGATGAGAAGATCAACTATTCACATTTTTAACATGCTTAGCAAAACTATTTGTAGTCTCAATAAAACAATCACAAGATATAGGTTAAGAATAAGTGTCTCACCTTGTGATAACATTATGGACTAATCTATATTCATAACGTTAATTCAATCAACCTCTCATTGTGACATCCAATTAAATTAACCCAATTTTTACTGCAAATGTTATTATGTTATAAATCCAATATGAATAACTTAAATATTTTTATAATGCCAACCACGCATGCTAAATGAAGGCAGCTTATATGACTAATGCCAATTTTACTTCTTGTTGGCTTTGATACCTCTTTTGTTCACATATTTATTTAATTGCATAATTTTTGTTAACCTCCTCTTGTTATTTTATTTTAGAAATATTTTATCGGTTCATCGCTTCGCGATTAGTCCGATTCAGAGCGGGTCCAGGATTAAGGCTTTAAACTCCTCTCAAAGGTGATACTGGAGTCGTTATTTTATTTCTATGCATCAGGATGCGAATAAAATAAAATCATATGAGCACCACCAAAAAAAAATAATAATCATACGAGGCAACGCAATTTCAACAAGTTTTGATATCTAAAATTTAGGGACTACAATTCAATTGATAGCATTTTAGAATGAGAATATTCCCATGGTTCAGGGGATTTTAACAAAGTAATAACATGAGTCGAGAACATCTCCATTCATTAAGTAAAAGATTCAGTTTATTAATTCACCCAAAAAAAATTCAAATTTAAACAAACCCAAGCATCTCCCGCCATTTCGAAAAACTAGGGGGAGTACCCTCGTTGGAATTAATTGGTGTTGTCAATAACTGCGAATCTATTACTGACAATGGTCCCGCGCGACAAAGAGTACAGAGCTGTTGTTTCCACTGAACTATGTTTATTATTATCTTATTATGCAATTAGTTGTTGGATTGAATCATCTCATCATAAGAAGAGTCGTCACAAATATTAATTATTTAACAAGTTGCTTGATAGTTGACCAAAATGGTTTTTAGAAGAATTTATTAAGTTTTATGTATATTTTAGGATTTTTAAAATTTAAGTAAAATATAAAAATATGAATAATTTTATATGTCTTGAAAGAATAAATTTCAATTTAATATATGCGGCGAATATATTTTAGGCACAACTTCTAAAAAGATAAACAACACTGATGAATTGTAATTTATACGATACATAACTCTATGGGCAAAAAAGTGGGTTTGTTGTCATAGAGTGCAAAATCATATAATATTGTGTGAATTAGTTTTACCAAAAAAGAAAAAGAAAAAAAGTTCGTGTTATTTTATATAAATTTATAAATAATGTTGTGATGGTAAAGAGATATATGAGTTGTATTTAGCGTGTTGTCACTTCTATAAAATATAATTAACAGTTGTATAGCATTAATGTATTATGATGGTATAGTATTAATGTGCTATGATTATAGTATTAATAGTAGTTGTACGTAGTTGTAGCATTGACGATAATTACAATTGTAATTAATACTACAATTTATAATAGTAACCATTATCAATATTCCAATAATAATTATTATTGATTCTATAATTGTAGTTATCATCAATACTATAGTGGTAATTATTATTAATACTACAATCGCAACAACAGTAATTTGATCAATATATTTATTTTGTAGTTTTTCTCTTAAACTATGAAACTAACATGATAAGAACTTGTGACTGCTAAAAATGGTCAGGGAAAGAAAGTCTGTGAGTGGTAGTATCAGTGTGCACCTCGCCTCGGTAAGAGATTGAACCTTTTTAGCCATTGAAAAGGACTAAACGATATCAACTTGCAACATATAGTAACTCAAAAAAATTGGACCGTTACAAAATAAACATTTTTTTTTTGGTAAAGGAGGGAAATAACAGAATTACATATTAACAAGCCTAGGTGTCTTGGGATTTGCTGCAACCATTAAAGATGAGGTTGTTTCTTTCTTGCCAAAAACACCAACATGTGACTCCGAAAAGAATATACCATTGTGGAAATTTAGAGTTAGAACTCTTATTACACAAGTTAGTTGCAAGCCAGTTTCAGAGATTAAGTTAAAGAAGATGGGCACCTAATCCCTACCAATCAGTTTCAACCAAACAGACCTTGAAAACGAGCAATCTCTAAAGATGTGAAGGTAGTCTTCTAGAGGAGAGGAGCATCGCGGGCATGGGTTCAAAGCCCCCATGTGCCTTCTGTTCCACTCAGCATTGGCAAAAAGCTTTTCACTAATGAGAAGCCAAACAAAGTTCCTCACCCTTTGCAGCCCCCCCAATTCCAATCCATATTCCAAGCACGATCAGCAACGGGAGCAATATTAGATTTAAGGAACCTGTAAACAGCCTTGACAGAAAAAGCTCCATCATTTGAGCCATCCCAAATGACCCCATCCTTTCCATCCTCTAAAGAGGGGGGAACAATGCCTGTTATCCAAGACAGAGTTTCCACAGAGAGAAGTTGGTTCATCATTCCCCAATTCCAAGATTCGTCCAGAGTAACATAGTACTTCACTGTTTTCACTGAGGGGGGGTTTGCTTGAAAATAAATTTTAAGAATACTAGATTAATGTAATTATTAGGTATCCATAGAAAAAGTTGAATAGATGGAAAAATTAAAAAAAAAATAGTTTGGTTCGACAAAATTTTATCAAGAAAATATATGACAAAAAGTGTGTCAATAGTGCTTTACCCGAATTTTCTCAAAAAACCACCCTCAAATCGGGAGTTTCTAAACAGTTCAAATTACTATCTTT